TTGAATCGTTGGAAGAACTGGACCCATCTGAGATGTTTGGCGTTAAGTCTCTGTGGGGTCTGCAGGGCCTGTAAGTTTTTGTGGTCCGTCCACACTTCAAAGGGGATTTGGGTGCCCTCGAGGAAATGCCGCCAGTGAGCCAAGGCCGCTCGCACCGCGAAGGATTCTTTTTCCCAAACGTGCCAACGCTTTTCAGTTTCAGAAAACTTTTTTGATAGGTAAGCGCATGGCTTGAGCTGGCCTGCCTCGTCTGCTTGTAACAGCACCGCCCCGTAGGCGGCCTCTGAGGCATCGCATTGCACTACAAAAGGCTTAGAGGGCTGGACGTGTGTCAGGATGGGCTGGCTTGTGAATTTTGCTTTTAGGACCTCAAAAGCCCTTTGGCATTCGGGGGTCCATTCCAGTCTTGCCCCCGGAGTTTTCGCCTTTTTTGTCTCCCCCTTTCCCTTTGTCTTTAGTAACTCAGTGAGTGGCAGCGCCACCTCGGCAAAGTCTTTGATGAATTGCCGGTAAAAGTTGGCAAACCCCAGAAATCCCTGTAGCTGCTTCCGGGTGCGGGGAGGTTCCCATGCCAGCACATCCTGTATCTTGGCTGGGTCCATGGCCAGCCCCTTTGTGGATATGCGGAACCCCAGGTAAGTGAGCTCGGTGCGGTGAAACTCGCACTTTGAGAGCTTAACATAAAGTTGGTTTTCTCTCAGGATCTGGAGCACCTTTTGTGTGGTTTTTATATGTTGGTCTAATGAGTCTGAGTATATCAGAAGGTCATCAAGGTAGCTCAGCAGGCCGTCATATAGCATCTCCCGGAAGATGTCATTTATGAATTGTTGGAACACCTTGGGGGCTCCTTTTAGCCCGAAGGGTGTCACGGCCCACTGGTACTGCCCGAAACAACAATTGAAGGCCGTTTTCCAACAGTCTTCATCTCTCACCCTCAGGCGGTAAAATGCCTCCCTGATGTCCAATTTTGTAAAGATTTTGGCTTTGCCCAGTTGTGCCAAAATGTCTGACATGAGGGGGAGGGGGTACTGATTGGCAGTACATATGGCGTTCAGCCCCCTATAGTCCACACAGTCTCAGCGATCCGTCTGCCTTGGGCCTGAAGAGCACTGGGGCGGCCACTGGCGAAATGGATGGCAACTATGAATCCCCTTTCTAGGTTTTTGTCAAGGAATTCTCTCAAGGCTTTTCTCTCCGGTTCAGACATTGCGTATAGCTTTGGGCTGGGCAGTTTAATATTGGGTTCGAATTCAATGGCACAGTCTGTTTTTCTATGGGGAGGTAGCTGATCACATTCTGTCTCGCTAAAAACGTCTGCCCACTCTCGATAAGCCTCCGGGATGTCAGTCTCTGGGCCCTCCGGAGTTGCCTCTGCCTGTGCTCCTTGTACTTGTACGGGAGGGGGTGACCGGTTGAGCCCCTCAGGCCTGTACTCCCCATCCGTGAAGGAAATCACTCCCTCAACCCAGTTAATTTGAGGGTTTTGCCATCTCAGCCATGGGATCCCCAGTATGACTGGCTGGTGGGCCATGGGGGATATCACAAACTGCAAYGTCTCCCTGTGGGTTCCCATTTCCAGGTGCAAATAGTCTGTCTTTTCCATTACTGGGCCCCCATGGGCAGCCGTCCCATCCAGTTGGGAGAAAATAACGGGAGTTTTTAATGCCTGGGGCTTAACTCCCAGTTCGGCTGCCAGGGAGGGGGTGATTAGGCACCTGGTGCACCCACAGTCCAGCATGGCTTCAGTTTCTATTCTTACTCCCGATTTGGGGTTGGTCAGGGCCACAGTCATTCTAAGCACATCACAATTTAGCTTTTTCAACTCACCGCCTGGTGCCTTCACGATCTTCCTGTCGGCGGTGCCTCTTACAGGAGATCTTGCCCGTTTCCCGCCAGGTAGAAATCTTTGCGCCCTCCAGGTCTGCCTCCTCCTCCGCGGGAAGCTGATATGGGGCCAGAGCGGACTCCACTGCCGTGGAGGCTTTCCCCTTTGCAGGTTTGGTTCCCGGCGCTGGCCTCGGGGGGGGTGGTGTCTTGTCAGGCTTGGGAGCGTTGGGAGGGGTGCGTCCTCTCGGGCATTCTGCTGCTCGGTGTCCTTCCTGACCGCATGCGAAGCAGGGACCCCTCCTCCCTTTCCTCTCGCGGCTGGCTGACCTTCCTCTGGGCGAGGGGCGTCGCTGCCCCCCCGTGGGCCTGCTGCAGGGTGCCGGGTTCGGCCTCTCTCTCTCGCTCTGCGTGGCATCTGCTCCTGGTCGCACTCGACCCTTCCTGCCAGCACAATCCATTCCTCGAGGGTGGCTGGGTTGCCCCGATGTAAGGACCATTCTAACACATCGGAGCGCAAGCCCGCCCGGAAGTGTTCGAGCTTGGTAGCATCCGACCAYTCTCTAATCCTGCCTGCAATGGCTTTGAACTCCAGGGCATATTCGGAAACAGTCTTGTTGCCCTGGAGGATCCTTTTGAGTTGTCCCTTCGCCTTCTCCTCCGCCAAAGGGTCCTGGAATCTCGCCCGGAGCGCCCTTAGGAAGTCATCTAATCTCCTCAGCTCAGGCGCCCGGGAGTCATACATTTGCATGAGCCAATCGGCCGCCGCGTCCTTCAAATTGGCCCCCACCGCGTGGATCATGGCCCCCTCTGAAGGGAAGGAGTCCCCATAATCTTCCATGAAATGCCTCACATTTGTGATGAAATAGGAGAGCTGTTTGGGGTCCCCGTTGAACTTTACGCGCAGTTCTCCTCTCGCGGGGCCCCCCTGGAGTTGACTTCTCCCTCCCCATCCTGATGTYAARGRTGAGYTCCCGGGGGGAGGGWGTGMAGGCTCTCCCTCCGTGGCGAACGCCACTCTCCCTGAGGGCCGGTATCCRCGTCCCATACCTTGCGGGAGGGAGCGTCGCTGCTCTCTCTCCTCCAGYGTGGCTCTCCAAGATGCTGCAACCTCCCTCCTCATCTCCTCCAGTTGGAACGAGAAGGTCTGAAGCATTCTTTCCATCGCATCCACCTTCTCCCCGAGGTGTTGCGCGGGCGGCGCCGAGGCGCTGCCGAGGGGCGAGGGTTCTCTGAGGGGCTCCCTCGCTCCCAACATGGGTAACTTGCGTCTTACGGTTATGTCCTTTCGTGGCGGCATCTGCYTGGACGTTAGGGGGGCTTCCCAGTCTTCAGACGCTGCCGCTGGGACCTCTCCTCCCATCTCTAGGTCTCCGGCATGAGAAGATCCCTCGTCCCCGAACTCCTCGTTTTCCAGCCTCGGAGAGGGGGAGAATCCAATGCTCTCTCCAGCTCCCATCGGGATTTCTTCTCCCTGGAACATGCTCCTTTCCCGGATAGTTGTAATCCTCACGGGTAGAACAAGAAGTTGTGAGTTCTCTCTTTATGTCAGGTATACCGCTGGGTCTTAGAATGAAACACACACTCACAACAGCAAATCCTGGAATTGTAGTTTATTCAGTCCACACAGTATAACAGCAAAGAGAGAACTGAGGTTTCCCGCCAGCCAATCCCCCCTCCTGGCCTCGCTCCCCCCCTCTCTTTCCTGTCTTATCTCAGTTTAGGCTACAGCTTCATTCCCACATCTTCAAAGGGAACCTTGGCCAGATGGCCCTAACCATAAACTAATCTATCATGACTACTCCCTCTACTGTCAGGAAGAAGACTTTGCTTGGAATCTCTTGAAACCATGAAGGCACATCCTGACAGACAGTCAGCCTTGTTTGTGCTTCGCTCTGGGAACCATCCCTTTCCTTGAGTTCCTGAAATCTGTCCCCCATTTTGAGCCCCTTGAAGAGGGATTGAGCCAGGTTCAACCGATTCATTTTTAAGAATTCTGTATTTAATTCAGTTTAGTATCTAGACCTTGTGGATTTGACTTGCTAGGCTCTGAATGCCACACGCACTTGACTCTTCTCTTCATTTGCTTCATGGCTGCCAAGGAGCAGGTTTGGCTCGGCTACTTGAGAGGGGACGCTCCAGAGCCATCGTGTCTGTTGCCCTAGGTAGTTAATGATTTTGGTGTCTTCAAAATTATTCACTCTCATTCATTCATTCTTTCATTCAGTTTCATTCAAACCATATATCATATCAAATCTGCACGTTATATTTCTTGTGACAAGCAGATGGTGAATCCTGGGTGGCATATGTTGTTCTGTGTCAGAAAGTAGAGCTGATGTGTTCTCTCCAGTGCAGTTTTCTGAATCAGCACCCCAAATAACCAAACCAAACCTAATGTTGACCACAAACTGATTCGTAACCCTTTGGGTACTAATGTTGGAGAGGGGTCCCTGATCAAGAAAAGGTTGGGAGCCACTGCACTAGACAGACGGCACAAGGGATTGCAAATGGAAGCCTAGGCAAGCCATGGGAAATTCAAACAGGGACCCCGCAGGGATGCCCGCTCTCGCCTCTTCTATTTATAAAACTTCTTACAATACTGTTAAGGGACATCAGAGGTGAGGAAATGATTTCTGGAAAAAGGATTGAACAGGAAAATATAATTTTAATATGAGAAAAGAGTAAATATAGAGAGGTCTAGAAGGTGAAACGTATGATTATAGCTTTCTTTGGGACTAGATTGGGAGAGACCAGAGGTCACCTATCTTCCCCCTTTTTTCTCCCCCCCCACCCCTTTTTTAGGTAAAGGATGTATAAAAAATGAGGGTGCAGATAGAAGCAGTGTTACATGGACATGAAGTCTCTTTTGTGATCTCCCCATGATGTGATGCCCTCCTCTCCAAAGCCCACCTGGTGCAGAGGTTGCTGCCCAGGACCCCCCTGGCTGAGGATTCGAAAGGCCCCTCCCTGAACACCTGGCAGTGTAAGAAATCGCACACAGAGAATCTTTGTGCCTGTCCCCTTTGTACCTGAGGAAGGATTGTTCGTAGTTTGCCAAGTGTCACCTGGCAATGGGCAGCTTCCCTCTTCCTCTTGGTTTGCTACAGCACTAGACTTCCTCTTCGTGTTCCATGAGATCTTTCTCTGTTCAACTCCTGAAGAGATTTTCGTCTCATTTCTCTGGCAGGTAACTTCCAAACAAGTTCTGCGAAGAACGCCTTGTGAGAGCTTTGCCTGAGGAGTGCTGTAAGTTCAAAGTGACTTCAAGATACACAGCAATGACAACAAAAAAAAATAAGTACCAGAAAAATATTTGTGAGGCTACATACCTGTGCTGTTGTTAAGGCGGGAAATAAGATTTTGCTGTAAAAAGAGAGGCTTAGGAAAGCGAGCAGAAGGCTACAGCAAGACAAAAACTGTTGTGTTCAGGAGGTTATATCTGTGAACCCCTGGCATCATATTTGAATTATAAATGTAAAAGAATGGCAAGCACTCTACCTCCCTATCCTAGATCAGACACAGGGGAGAAGTTACATCAGTGTATGGAGTGTGGAAAACAATTTGAAAAGAAACATTCTCTTACTGTACATGAACGGACCCACACAGGGGAGAAACCATATAAATGCATGGAATGTGGAAAGAGCTTCAGTGAGAGTGGCCATCTACGTCGCCATCAAAGGATCCACACAGGGGAGAAGCCACATAAATGCGTGGAATGTGGAGAAAGCTTCAGTCAGAGTGGCCATCTACGTCGCCATCAAAGGACGCACACAGAGGAGAAGCCATATCAATGCATGGAATGTGGAAAATGTTTCAGTCGGAGTGGCACTTTACGTTCCCATCGAAGGATCCACACAGGGGAGAAGCCACATAAATGCATGGAATGTGGAGAAAGCTTCAATCAGAGTGGCCATCTACGTAGGCATCAAAGGACGCACACAGGGGAGAAGCCCTATGAATGCATGGAATGTGGAAAATGCTTCAGTGAGAGTGGCCATCTACGGTTCCATCAAAGGACGCACACAGGGGAGAAGCCACATAAATGCATGGAATGTGGAGAAAGCTTCAGTCGCAGTGGCACTCTACGTTCCCATCAAAGGATCCACACAGGGGAGAAGCCATATAAATGTAAGGAATGTGGAAAAAGCTTCAGTGAGAGTGGCCATCTACGGTCCCATCAAAGGATCCACACAGGGGAGAAGCCACATATATGCATGGAATGTGGAAAGAGCTTCAGTCTGAGTGGCACTCTACGGTCCCATCAAAGGATCCACACAGGGGAGAAGCCACATAAATGTATGGAATGTGGAAAGAGCTTCAGTCAGAGTGGCACTCTACGTTCCCATCAAAGGATGCACACAGGGGAGAAGCCATATAAATGCGTGGAATGTGGAGAGAGCTTCAGTGAGAGTGGCACTCTACGATCCCATCAAAGGATCCACACAGGGGAGAAGCCATATAAATGTATGGAATGTGGAAAAAGCTTCAGTCTGAGTGGCCATCTACGGTCCCATCAAAGGATCCACACAGGGGAGAAGCCATATAAATGTATGGAATGTGGAAAAAGCTTCAGTCGCAGTGACACTCTACGTTCCCACCAAATGACTCACACAGTACAGAAGCCATAGAAGTGCATAGAATGTGGAGAAAGTTTCAGGCAGAGTAACTATCTCGATTCCTTCCAAATCTATCTACATTGCTTTCAAAGGAGCCACATAGTAGAGAAGCCATATAAATGCACGGAATGTGGGAAGAGCTTTAGAGGATGTTCAGCATGCAATAAACATCACGGAACTCATGCGCCGCTAGAGGAGACCTGCCTTTCAGTTTCTGAGCTCACTTTAAAAAAATATTGGAAGGAAAGAGGAAGGCTGGCACCTGGCTCTCTCTCTCTCTTTCTTTTTCTTTCTCTTCCATGGACTAGTTTGTGTGGCCTTGGTCGACGGCTACTGGGAGCAGGTCTCACTCAGAAGGGGATTTTTCTCCGTATTGCAGCAAGCTCTGAAGGGGTTCCCCTCGCCTCCTCCATAAGAAACCCGTCACAGGCTTCTAGGGTGATCTGTGGAGGTTTGCTGAAAGGAGCAGCAGATGAGATCTCTGGAGAAAAGGGTTCTGAAAAAGAAGAGCTCTTTGGTAGCAGAGAAGGTCATCTCTTCATAGCCTTGTCTCACGTCTTGGTTCTGTTGCCCCTCGGTTAGAATTTTGGCCTCTAGCCATGTACCTGTCACCCTTTTCTGGACTTTGTTGTATCCTGAATAGTTCTAGACTGACTTCCGGTTTCATTTATGAACCAGAACTTTGTTTGTATGCCTGACTTTCTGGCTTGACTTTGGGACTCTGAATTCGGTTTGTACTCTTGTTATTTTATCAGCTCTGTTGAATGAACTCCTGGCATGTGACTCTGGAACTGTAACCTTTCTTCTTGCTCCTGACCTGGATCTGCAGTGCTCTACAATTGGACTCCTGACCTTAACTTGTCTTCATTGTTACTCCGACTGTGTTGCTGCAATTGTATTATTTTACCAGGACTGGTGCAATGGGTTAAACCCTTGTGCTGGCTGAACTGCTGACTTTGTTGCGGAATATACGTTACCCGAGATTCGTTAGAATGCTTTTGGAGAAGGAAGAAGATGGAGAGACAGCATGTCTGATTTCCAGGCGTTTATTCCTATCTCTGCAGAGTATAGGGTGTACAGCAAACAAGGGGCTGACACCTTGGAGGTCTGAATCGCTTCAGTATTTATAGCATAATATCAACCTTTCCACACATGCGCAGAAGGAGCCTGACATTTACACAATACAATCATTAATAGGCGTTTCCATATATACTTGCCAAAAACATCTTTATCAGGTCTTGGCAGCCACGTTGTGAACCCAAACATCTGCTTGATTATGTAACTTATCCCAACCTTCACCCGTTACCCTAAGATGACACTTATAAGTGTAATGCCTTAAATCTCTAATTGACTTATAACGTTTATATGCTTATAACATAAGATTTGATCAAGGCAATCTCCTTTAGTTAATTCAGCCTTATAACTTCATTATAACTTATTTCTCAATATGAAGATCATGAAGGAAATTACTTAGGATAAAGCTTTTCTGAAATTGCCTGCTATTTACGTTAAGTGGTCAGAGGATGGCGCTCTCTCACCATTTGACCTTAGATGTTCCAAGTCTTGGCTCGATACTGTTGATCTCTTTGTCCTGCCAAACTTCTCTTGTTGACTTCATATCTAAGCAAACATCGGCTACAGCAAACATTTCTGACTGACCAAGGTCCAGTGACGATCAATAACATCTGTAGATTTCTCAGGCATGAGGAAGTTCCCTCTTTAGAAATGGTCTTTTCCTTTCGAAGGATCAGGTGAGAACTTAAATATTCCATTTTATTCTAAATTATTGTGATTTCCCTTTATTATTATTTTATTTTCTGCTAATGGCTGCCACAACTTGAAGTTTGGCGGTTTGAATTCGCGAGACAGAGAGAGCTCCCATTTGTCAGCCCTTGCTCCCCGTGCGGTGAAACAAGAGAAGCCTCCCAGCAAGATGGGAACACATTTGGGCATTCCCTGGGCAATGTCTTTGTAGACGTCCAGTTCTCTCACACCAGAAGTGACTTGCAGTATGTTCTCTATTCGTTTCTGACGCTGTAAAAAAAGCCGGACTGAAGACTTGCAAGTAAATATGGTCTGGGCTTATCTTGTGTTTATTTACTAAACCTCGGGCTTTATACCGGGAGAGCTCTGAAACACGAGACCATGAGTCTTGCTTTGTGTGTACTTATCGCTGCTTAGAGTGAACCCCTTTTCTGTATTTGAGGCTGTTTAATGATTTTAAACCCAAAACTAATTTTTCCCCACACACGGATAATATAACCATCAGGGCATTTGAAAAGGTGGTTGAAAGAGACATACAGAGATTGTCCCGGAACAAAATTTACACCCATTCCAACATGACATCCATCGAAATGAATACCATTAAAAGATTGGCCAACATGAAAGGATACATCTGGAAGAAGGCAGATAAAGGAGGAGCAATAGTTCCATTAAACGAAACGGATTACGTAAAAGAGGTAGAGAGACACCCAGGAGACACTTCTTTCTATAAACCTATCCCTAAGGATCCTACAGACAAAATACGTTTTTTCATCTGAACAGTATGTACCGAAGGACTCACTTTAGGATGCATCTCAGATCAGCAATTTGCATTTCTGCCAAACAAGAATCCCAGAATTCCAGTGTTTATGTTCTACCTAAATACACAAAGGAAACATGCCTCCCCCAGTGAGACCAATTGTATCCGACTCTTCCTCCATCCTGGAACCCCTAGAGCAGTTTTTGGGTTATTATTTACAACCATTTGTACCCCTCGTGTAGTCTTATATTAAAGATACTAAACATTTCATAAAGATCATAGAGGACCTTACCATACCACCACAATCCATCTTAATGACACTGGATATCACATCATTATATACCAACATACCATTAGATCGAACTAGAACAATAATTACTAAACATCCGTGAGCCCCAAACACCAGCTTCTCATATTTTAATGGATTTGTTAGACATTGTCCTGGAATATAATTTTTTCAGATTTAAAACCCAATACTATCTATAGATTTTTGGTGTCGCAATGGGAAGTCCTTTGGCCGCTTCAGTGGGAAATCTTTTGATTTCAAATTTGGAAGAAACCCACATCCTACATGACACCAAAAACAGGTGGTTGTTGTTTTTTTTTTGCCAGATATTCTATATGATGGCAGGTTTATTGATGATATTTTTTTTAATTTGAAAATCAAAAGAATCTGCAATCTTCTTTAGTATTTGGCTTAACACAATACATGATAACACCAAATTCACTGGTAACCATAGCCATACAAATATAAACTTTCTAGATGTCATGGTATATAAGAAAGGCAATAAGAAAACTCATGGATAAAATTCCATCATGCATTGCAACACCTACCACCATAATGCTGCAAGTTGCTTCTGGACGCTTCTGGAATGAGAGAATCAGCTATCTAAGAAGACGTTGCCCAGGGGACACCCAGATGTCTTGCAATCCTGTGGGGAGCCTTCTCTCATGTCCCCCCAAGTGGCCAGCTACTGATCAAAGGACATTTAATAGAATGCCAAGTTTGCAAACTTTGTGCTTTCTTTGTTTTTTCTTTGCTTGATTGTTTTTTTAATGCAATACAACTGTTTTGTTCACTCCTGCACGATAAATAAATATCACGATCATAGTTTAAAAACCAGCTTACCCTATGCCACACTTATGAGATTAAAACGAAAACATCGCTGCCCCCCAAGGAGGTCACACCAGAGGTCATTACTTTTGAGAAACAATTCAAAGAAAAAAGGCACCCCACAAGTATCATCAATACTGCTATTATAAAAGTTAAGTTCACACATAGAAATGATTTACTGAGCGATATGGTGAGGAAACTTAATGACCGTATTATATGGCCACTTAGGTTAACCACATATTCTCCACACATCAGGAACGCTGTGTCTGAGATTGGCTATTGATTGTGTGATATATTGTTGTTTTTAAGTGTTTTAATTGTTTACCATTTAATTGCTGGTTTTATATGTTATTGTATTTGTGTAAGCCGCCCTGAGTCCCCCCTCGGGGGTTGAGAAGGGCGGGGTATAAGTACATGAAATAATAAATAAATAAATAAAATAATTAGAAAGCACTGACACTTGGTCAGTGACACTCCAGGATGCAAGAATGTACCAATGATAGCCAACAAACGAACCCAGAATCTTAGGGATATGATGATCAGATCTGACTTCACAACCCCTTTATTTACTATCAGCAAATCTAATCTTAGGGGCCACACAAGTTGCGGGCTTTGTGCATATTGCATTCAATCTCTTAAAGTAAAACAGTTCTCACACCCCACAATGCAACTCAACATACAACTTTGTAATTTCACCAACTGCAGTACAGAGAAAGTGATGTATGTCATACAATGTCCATGTTCACTGCTATATGTAGGCATGGCCTCCAGACCTTTAAAAATTAGAATTCTTAGAAATAAAACCATTGAATCTACTCTTTATTCCCATTTCAGTGAGAAATCCCACTCACACACTAGCTTCAGATTTGGCGCTTTTTAGGAAAGGTAACCACACAACCCCATCAAGACTTACAGAGAATTTTACTTCAGAGAGAGGCTTTTTTGGATATTCAGGTTACATACCGTTTCCCCAGGTGGGTTGAACGATAGATTAGATCTCTCTTGTTTTCTGCTATTGACCTGTATCTTTATAAAGGGAGGCTTCTCCATGGGTTTTTGCTCGCACTTGAAAAACTTGCAGACTCACAGCTGTTGAAAGTCCTTGAGCAGAGCCATTCAGTCCTCAGGAGAAAGTAGTAAGTGTTTTTAATTCCACACAATGATTGTTGTTACTGTAACTGGGTGCTATTAGAGCATATCTACTTTTGTTGTCCTTTTGAGTCGAGTTAATTAATTAGAAGAGATCAACTTAAATGGATGAAATAGCAAAGAAGGGGTAACATTCCAAAAAAGTGATAGCGAGGAACTGTTGAGAACTCACAACATGTTGTGAATGAGAACTTATTGTTTAATGTTTATGTTTTTCTTGATTGAATAATTGATGTTTATATAGATTTTGCCCATGGTGTTGAGACAATAATAATCTTACTGTATATAATATATGCATTGTGTAATTCAGGGTTATAATTGATTTAGTTATTGAATGACTTAACACTTATACATTGATAGATATATATCTCTTGCTTTATATTTTATACTGTTTAATCCCCACCTTTTGGCAAAGGGTCCATTAGGATGCACAGCACATCTCCCTCACTGCAGAGAATGGAAGACAAAGAATGGTGACAACGGCTGATGA